AGACTGGATTAAGCACTTACAGCGACACATTGTAAACGCTAATCTTCCACGGACTGGAGCTGGCATGGTGGAAGTCACATCACTACTTAAAAAGCCTGCCTCCATTACAGAAACTTCATTTTCTCTACTAATGGCAGAAGCAGCTTCATAGAACCAGGAAACCTTTTACATAGCAAATTTGAATTGGATGTAAATTTGAAATTCTTTGTCTTTTTTTTAAGCCACATTAAATTATCCGTTTACTAAAGCAGGAAAATGGGGAAAAGTGAATTCCAGTGACATCAGAGCAAATCAAATGCTTAAACAGTAAGTAGTCTATATATTTTATATAGGGTGGAAGATGTGTTTTTAAGGCTTATTAAGTTTTGTTGGCTAACTGTGTTTACTCAGTACGAGATCAGTACATGTAAGCAGCCATTTATAAAACTGTTGGACATGGATTTATTGAAAATTATGTTTCCTTCAGTGTTATCAGAATCAAGGCTCTGTTTGTTCCCCACAAGACGTACATAGAAAAATAAGATATTATATTTTGTTTGTATGTATTTAGTGTTTTGTATAATACCAGGAACTGCTAACTAAATTTACTCAATTTAGGGCATTAAATATCATGTACTTCATAGTTTGAGACTGTTCACTCAAATAGGGCAGAGTATTATTCTATCTAGATGTGTAAGTGTTTTTTTAAAATCACATGGAATGGTTTTTTTTATACTAAAAAGTGGAGGGAGATTTGTTTAAACAAGTATTTCTAAAAGAAATATGTACATAGTCCTGGAAATTATTTGTGGTAAGGAAATATTCTTTACTCCAGTTGCATTTCTCAGACAATAAAGTGGTGCATCCATGCTACCTCCTACTTTGTCAACAAAGATGCTATTTACCCTTTACATTTTTGTATCATAATAGATTTAAAAATCTAATGTTCTTTATTGCAAGACATCTTTTTGTTAACAAATTTGTTTCTTTTCAATGTTTTACCTAAAATTTGACATGCTTACAGGACAGTTTGCCTCTTACTTTATTTAACATTGTAGAAATGTAATTAATAAACAATGCTCACTACACAACTTAGAATAGGCTTTCTCATTTATATTATCTTCCAAATTTAATCAGTTAGCAAAACTTAATACACCGATTAAAATATTTCTACATATGATGAGAATGTTTACAATTTAAATTTTAGAACTTGTTTTGGATGTGATTATATGTACAAAAATCGTGTAACACTATGCTCATGCTAAGAACCGACATAACGGAATTACTGAAATAAATGTGCTGTGAGGAATGGACTATATGGTGCAGGTGTCTTGGTCATGATAAGTTGTGATTATTCTTTTAAAGTCTTTCCAAAAACAGGTTAGTTCTTTTAATCTGAAATCATATTCTTTTGCAAATAACAGTTTTTGTATGCAAGCACCATTTTATCTCATGTAGTTTGGCTAATATTATAGATCAACCAAGGATATGCATTGATATACTTTTCTTCGTATGTAAATAAAGTTAACAACAGTTAAAATAAGGAGTATTTTGGTAGAGTATATACATACCTCACTGCCAGTGAAGTTGCTTTCTATGATATATCCTTACCAGAAAATTATCTAAATAAAAGAAGACTTAAACAAAATGGTAATGTCTATAATGTGAAACATTTATTTTTATTATTGGCGGAAATAGTCCACTTGAACTTGTGTTTCTTTTTGATCCAAATTGTTTCTCTTTACCAAGTTATTATATTCACAGGATTTTCTCCCCTTTCATGATTAATCAGACCTCTAAATCCAGAACTGTTTTCAATCTGAAATTAGGAGATTGAACTCCCATTTCCAACTGAACTCCTGATTTCTGGGCAGTAGATACAAAAAAGTCCTTGTAAATTATTTGCTATTATGCGAACAGCCTGATGGAAACTGTGCTTATCTCTAATGGGGAGGCTGAAACATCCAATGTCTTTACTTTTAACTGAAAATGTACCTGGTCTCTATATATTGGGTTACTTCTTACTGAACAGTTTTTATTGACAGTTATGTCTTTGAATATATTTTTTTAATTGGTTGACATACTGCATAGCAACTAAAGTTCAGAAATTTAAAACCAAACAAAAAAAACTTAGGCTTACTGGTGGGAGGCTAGCAATCACTAGCACTTCTTTCAGCCTTATAGTTTTTTTTACTTTTGTCAAGGTAATTATGTTGAATGAATACTAGCATCAGAGTTAACTTGACGATGAGTTTCAGAATCAAAGCTTCGCTACATTTTTTTTTATTTTTAAAAGTTATTTTTCCCTTTAGATATAATAATTCATCAAAATAGAATAAATTAGAAACAGTAAGGTAGAGGGATTCTAAAAAGAACAGAACACTTTTAAAGTAACAATAGTTAGATTACAAAATTTAACATTCTTAGGAAATAGTCGCAGTTTCCCTTTTGTTTGGCGTGTGTGCGATTGATGTACTTTCAACTAGATTCCATTAGAAGAAGAATTCAGTTTAAAATCTTGTCTCATATGATATGACTTTATGTCAGAATATTATTTGATGTTAACTTAGTAATTAGATTTATTACTCAACTTTAACTAGTTTTCTGTTTCATTGCCAAGATATATAAGCTTTAGCTTTAGCATTTTTAAAAAATTCAAACGTATTGATTTATTTAATGTTTACAAGACAAAAAAGTTAACTTCTGCATATAATATTTTCCATTATGATTCTTTAGAATATATTAGAGTGGTGACATAACCCCATATATGTATTTTAGATTTCACTTAATGGTGACATAAGGAAAGGATAGTTTTTCAGCAGTAATTTACTATGCAAATTTTTCTTGAGATCATATTCATAACTTCTCAGGGACGTATAGCTAGACCATATTAGATATTAGTCAAATATATTGGTTTTTTTCATAAGAAAGTGTAATATATGCTAATTTTCAAAATGTTAACAAGGCAAAAATATAAAAATGGGGGAAATCACCTGTGGTATCATAACTCGGAGATAACCGCTTTTAGTAGCGTATACATTTCTTGTATTACGTTACCAGTTACCAGAATGTACTGAAATATACTTTTTTTCCAAATTGGTTTTAAATTTGAGGGGCTTCCTTATATAAACTAACCTTTGAGTATTGTACTTGAACATGACAAAAATCAGCATCTGTAATATTTCAAATTATGGACTAGAATTTAATCATTTTTATCCTTGCTACAGAACATAATTACCATATATTTCAGAGTGGGAACTGGCTTTCTTATTTCGAAGACCAGCCAAGGGTAATTTCAAATCTTCCTATGCATTTAATTTCTTAGTCCTTTGAAGTTGGTGCAACTTGAATTTTTCTTAATCTTCACAAATTTATCAAATAATGGCTACAGTTGCTTAAATAATAGTAATAATAAAAACTTACAAAATTGATCTTCCATACTACATGGTTCTTATTAGATTAAGTCAAAATTCAAATGTACAGAAATAACATAATAAATTACTGTTTTCCTTAAAATTTTAGACAGTAAAAATTATAAATTTTCTGATAGTAAAAATGTTGTATAGCCCACCAATCTTGTATTTCTGTTTATAGACTTCTTAAAAAAAAATGAGCTCTGCTGTGTAGAACTGAGTTTGTTCTCTTAACAATATATCCAAGAACATTTTTGCACCACTAAGTACTCTTCTTTATAAAATATATTTTAAATGTTTGCATGATATTCTATTATACCATACATTGCTTAATACCTCCACACTTGATTGTTTTATATTGCCTCCAAGGTTTTAGCTTTTTCAAGAATATTTTGTAACATTTCTACAATAAATTGTGTGAGTCCAAAATTATTTCCTTAACAGTTTCTAAAAGGTCAGAGTTGAATATTACTCATTTAATTGTGGCTTTGCATACCAATTTGCAAATTGTTTTTCAGAAAGGTCGTTACTAACGGTTTATTCCTATTACAGTGTGTGAGACTGAATAGCTTGCAGTTCCTCTAGTCCTTGTCAGTATAATCTTTAGGTAAGGAGCGATCCCTTATTCATTTTTAAGTGACAAGTGAAGACAATGTATGTGAACTTTTGATTTTACAGGTAGTAGATGTCTAACTTAAGATACTGAATATAAAAATGCGATTATGTTTTACTAGATGATGTGTCTGAAATAGCTTCAACTCTGATTTCATAATTGGCCAATTGGACATTTAAGAGTGTCCTTAACCTGCAGTATTTCCAGGAGATCTTTGCTATTGTACTGATTCCAACGAGTTTTTTTTTGTGTCTGCGTTTTTCTGGAAGTTTCATTGCCCTTTTCATATACTCAGATTGGTCTGTGACTCCTGCACCCTGCTTCCCCTGAAAAAAAGAACTTAAGAATAACTGTTTCGAAAGTAATATATGTTATCATATCATCTGTCAAGTCATTCATGTTTTTGAGTATAATTCTACGCAAATTCTAATTAAAATTAATGCTCAAAAATCTTTTGCTATAGGGTTTTGTTTGGTTTGGTTTTACATGGTGGGGGAAAAGAGATATTGTGAGCTGCTTTGTGTCTTCTGAGAAACTATTAGAAGATTGTTCATAAGTTTGTTTATAAAAATTGTTTGATTTATTAAACATATCCAAAGAGTTCTTTCTCAAGCTTTTAAGGTAAAACTCTGGGATTGTATTTTTCTGTTGCTGAGCTTGAGTAGTAAATTTCAGTGAATGTTTTTAAGGAACTTTTAGAGAGTCTTTAATTCCTTGTATGACTTAAATTCGCTTCATTGTATACATACTCATGGTACTGTGGGTGGGCATTGTGGTGTGTGGGTTAAGCTGTTAATTGCAGTGCCAACATCAAGTACAAGCTGCTCCACTTCTGCTAATTTAACCTGAGAAAACCACAGAGGACATAGTGTCCCTGCTCCCAAGTGGAAAACCCAGAAGAAGTTATTGGCTCCTGGCTTCACCCTGGCCCAGCTCCAGTCATTGTGACCATTTGAGGAGTGAGAACCAAGAGATGAAAAATTCTGTCTCCTTCTGTCTGTAATTCTGCCTTTCAAATAAATAAAATCTTTTTTTTAAAAAAAATATTAAATGTTACTGCTTAAAGAACTATTCAATTCCTATAAAGGGACAAGCTACAGAACATTGCCAGAATCCTCAGTTAACTACTTCCCTTTACCAATTTTCTGACTTTACTGATAATAATTTGTTCGTGTGTAAAAATTGACCAGCCAAGAATGTGTTTGATTTAATTTTGGGAACTAGAATAATGTCTTGCTCCTTGAGATTTGCATTTTCTTATGTTCAGGGATGCTAATTGTTTACAATCCCTTAGCTGGACTGTTTAAATGACCCAATTTAAGGATATAAAATCTGTGTGATGGGAAGACTGGGTTACACCTGATTTAACTTTTACTCTATCAATGCAGTTTTTTTCTTCTGGAACCCTTGAGACCACTGGATATACTTAGTATTTTTGTAGCTATTTTCCAGATAGGAGATATTGTCAAGATAAAAATACAAGGTTTCTCTCCTGAATATCCTCATTGAGCTTCTTGCCTTTCCTTAGATATTTGCCTCAGTAATTTTTCACTATCTTATTAATTCTGTGATACTTCTATGAAATTTTCTTTTTATTAATTCTGCACTTTAAGAAATATTTATATAAATTTTCTAAGATTGAAGATTTTTGTGTATTTTTTTTTTTACTTCTAGTTTCCTAGAAGATTTCTGATATATAGTTTGGATCCAGTAAAATATTTATCAAGTAATTAGGTAAATAAACTATTTTAAATTTAAATGGGATTTTAAATTTATTTTCCACTAGTTTTTCTTTTAGAAGCAGGTTCTAGTTAATAATTTTGAGCATTTTCCTTGTCCACTTGTATTTGGGAATTTATTCCTTTGGAACATCTTGAAATTTTGCTAAACACTACTGTACTGAAATCCTTGGAAAGTAAGAAATGACGAGTCTTCTGTTGGAAGATTGCTGTGTTCTCCTATTTCTTTGTCTTTTGAGCCATAAAGGAAAAAAACCACAGTTTTCTGCAAGAGAGGTACACATTTCTTTTAAAAAAATATTTGTGTATCTTGGTTTTTGTTTCTATTGTAAATGGACTTTTCCCAGAAACTTCAAATTCAGTATTGCTGATCTAAAGGAAATCTAGTGATTTTTCTATATATCATTTTTACTCATGAAGTCACCTTGTTGAACTGATTCAGAGTATTTTGTACCTTTTGCTTATAATTTCTGATTGGACAGATCATCTGGAAATTACAATAGTCTCTTTTGATTTCCAGCATTACTGCTTTTTTGTGTTTTATAATCAAAAATCACCTGTGTAATATTCATGATGATTCCTGGTGTTATTTCCAATTCTGATTGCAATAGAAATCTGTGTCATTGTTTATATGTGGTTTTGTTGGACATTTCTTAGTTAATGACATGAAAAAGTGTCTTTCTTGTGGAATGAATAAGAAACATCAGTATTCCCAAAGATTCTTTGAGTTGCCATGTGAACTTTCTTATCTGGTGCTGTTAATAAGATGCATGAATACATTCTTAAATATTGAACCATTCTTAATATTGGCTAATACTGTGAACTTGATGTACTTCTATTTGAGAAATTTTTTGTATATAGTTCTTCGTAATACTGTTCTTTGCTTTATTTGTCTGGATTTTGTTTCTAAATAAAAAACAAAAAGTGAAACGTACAGACCTAAACTTTAAAAGAAGTATGCAGTTCTTCAGAGGAAAATTGCAAAATTTTCCTGGTGCTTAAAGGATAAAGATAAATAGAAAACCATACCACCCACTCCTCATAAAATGAATTAGAAAGTTTAACTTTGCACTCTGAAACAGTTTCAAAGCATGGACAGTATTGCTTTATGACACGTAGTGTCCATCCATAAGCAGATTTCGATCTTTCAAGCTATAGATCTTTGGGCTGTTTTTATCGTTTCTTCTACAATCTTCAGTTTTCAAAGTGGTTTTTTTTTCCTCTCCTTTTGAAAAAAATTTTAGTTACATTTCCCTAGAAAAAGATTTGCTTCATGTTTTTAAAATCTTGGTGTGATAAGCTGTAGTGATAACTTCTGATTGGTTAATGTCCATTTGTGTAATTGTCCCTCATTTATGTTTGCTGGTGTTTGTATCCTAAATTAAGCTTACAGACAGTTTTATCTTTTTGTTAGCCTTTCCAAAAAACTTATTCTTTGTGTTTTACTCATTAACTCAACTTTTTCTGCCTTCCAGAGATTGAAGTATATTTCCAGCCTTTCTGGTTTTTCTAGTAAGTACACTTAAAGCTGCATTTTTTCTTTGCATATCAGTTTGATATATCCTACGTTTAGACATAGCAAAGCAATCACTGTTATTTATTGACTATGTTTCAACGTTGAAATTCATTTAGTCAATTTCTGCCTTTGGGAATTTCTCAATTTTCTGCATGGTCTAATATTACATACTTAATGTCCATTGTGTTTGAAAACAGTGTGGAATCTCTGAATTTAGGGGCATAGAATTCAGATATATATATATATATATATATATGCTGTTTATATATGTGCATAGGAGCTCCAAAAATTTGTGTAAAACTGAGTTAAAAGATTAAAATTTTTAAATGCAAGCTGTTTTCCAAATTTCTATCAAGTGCAAGCCATTTTCTAAGTATTGCAACCAGCCATTTTGTTCATCATAAACAAACAGAGGGTCCTAGAAATTTAACTGTATCATCTGTAGTCTGTTTTACATTAATGGGGGAGGGAGGGAAGATTACATTAACAGAGAAGCATCTTTATAAGATTTTTTTTTTAGGATTAGGAAACAAAAAAGTCTGCAAGAGCCAAACAGTTGGCATGATGATTCCTGTTGAAATTGTCAAAAATATTACATTTCATTAATGAGAAGACAAATGAGGAATGTGATGAGAAAGAAACACTGTCTCGTGGCATTTTTCTGATCAGGTATGGATTTCTCCAGGCACTCTTGCTGAGCAGATGCTATTAGTCTTTGTCCCTTTAGGAAATCAACAAGCAGTGCCTTGAGTATCCTCTTAAGTTGTCACAATCTCTGCTGTAGACCTGTATGCTGTTGCTCTTGGTAGCCATTCTTCTGATTGTGCTTTGACTTCAGGATCACACTGGTAAGGCCATGCATGTTTCATCTCATACAGCAGTTTTGAAGACATTACTCACAATCTTGAGTTTACTTGTTTGAAGTTCCATAGATCAATGCCTGTTGTCTTCATCTGGGCACAATACTTTCTCTTTTTTAAATGACTTATCCTAAACTTCTGAAATCTTTGGGTTGTTGTATTCATAAGCTTTTCATAAGTCACCAGTGATTTCATCACTCTTCTACTCACATTTCAGTGTCAATTTGAAATTTGCTCTTTATTTCATCAGAATTTATGCTGATCTGATAGGGGCCCTTTTTTAAAAAATAGTTTTTATTGTTGATTTTTACAGTTGATTAGAGTCAAGGGCTACAGAAAGGTGGGGTGAGATCACCATTTCCACATTCTCTTTTTTTTCCTTTCTGTGTCTGGGGAAGTGAGGAGACCAGGACAGTAGCCATACCCAGCCTCCCAAACACTTCTGCACCCTGGGATGGAGGACAGCCACCTTAAACTATTCAAGGGTCCCTGGTGTGGGGAATGCTCCAAGGGTCATGCTCAAGAGGTTTTGATAGTTCAACAGTTCCAGATTAATGTCAGTCTCACCACTCCAATCATGATGAGATCTTTCCAGAATCTACTGGGTGCTGGAGTCTAGCCCAGTTTGGCACACCCCAGTCCCGTCCACACTGTGTCAAAAAACACTGAAGCCATGCCAAGATTAAGCAGCAGCCCCCACTGTGGCCTTCACACTCACCAGTAGGACCCACAACCCAGCCAGAGTGTCCCCGTTACTCCCCAACCTGGCCTGTTCCCAGCCACAGTTCTTGTGCATGCCAGTGGTTGCTCTGACCCAGCTTCTCATATCCCCTCACTTGTCTTAGCCTTTGCCTTTGGATGCTGTAGCATGGCCTGATTTAGTCTGCCCCCAGTTCCAACTCTAGCTGATGGGTGCTGGAACCTGGCCCTATTCACTCTGCTCCCATCCCTGTCTCATACAAACTGGCAGGTGTGACAGCCTATCCCAGCATGACCTACACTCCATCCTCGTTTCTGTACGTGAAGATGAGCTAAGGTTTGCTAGGTCCTTCTCAGTTGGCCCCCTTCCAAAACCAACTCACACAATGGACAGCAGTTGGAGCTGCCTTACCCCCAATCCCCAGGCCTGGATAATGTGCTCACCAGTGGGAGCTGTGACCCATTAGGGGAATTTCCGAAGTTCCCCCACTCTGCCCACTCCCAGACCCATATCTCACGCATGCCAGTGGGTGTATGCCCTTGCCCAGCATGGTTTGCTCTTCCATATTGGCCTAGCATGAGCTGGAGGAAGTTGCAGCCTGGCCCGCCTCACATCGTTCTAGGATGCACATGTGGGTGCTGCTGCCCAGCTTTATCAGTTCCTGTATCCATGAATGTTGGCAGGTTTTATGGTCACACCTCGCTCAGCCCATCACCATCCCAACTCTTGAGCTAACCAACAGGACTTGTATTTCCACAGGGTTGGGTTCACATATCTCCCCACAGAATCAGGTTCTTTTGCATGCTGGTTAGTGTCATGGCCCTGCCTAACGTTACCCATCCCCTGTTCTGACATTCAGTCGGGTACTGGGATCTAGTCCTGCCAGACAGGCCCCAGCCCTGTCTTTTGTGTGGACTGGCGTATGGTAATCAGCAACGTTCCATGCTAACAAGCCCAAGTCTAATTTCCTGTTGGACTGGTGCTTCAGTCTGACCCATACAGATCTTCCATTCCCTCCCCTCCTAACCATCAGGTCTCAATCCCCTCATTTACCTGCAAGTACAAAGAAGGGGCTCTTTTCAAAAGGGCATCTTGCCCAATTACCTCAAACTAGATTTCCCTCAGGGATTTTTTTTATTATTACTATATATTTTTTAATTACATTATTGTATTATGTGACAGTTCTATATAGGCGTTGAGATTCCTTCATTGCAAGCATACACCAAGCATAGAGTCCAGCATCTCATTGTCCGGTCAAGTTCAGCAGCTTCTTGGGGAGACCCTCCCTGGTCCGAAGGCAGAGCCAACATAGTAGAATCCCGGTCAATTAAAAGCCCCAACATAACATCAGCAACAATATATAACGTTAAGGGATAAATTGACAAAGTATTGAGCAACCAATTTGTCAAAATTGGATGCATGGTCTTAACAACTTCCTGTGACTATTTCAATGACATTTCAACAGTTGAGATGCGAAACAGTTTTAGAAAGGGTGTGCAGAGAAATCTTCCATACCTTGGTGAGGAGTACTTAAAACCCGTGTCCTACCTAGTAAGGTGTGTGTGAGTCCATGGTGACCAAGCCTTCCTTGTTCTCTGCCTATCCATTCCAGTTTGTGAGAGTGTGTGTGTGTGTGTGTGTGTGTGTGTGTGTGTGTGTGTGTGTTGGGGGGAGCTTTGGAGCGTCCCTCATGGTCATTGCAGAGAGGGTGGGGACCCGAAGTTGGAGCTAAGTAAGAACCAGAGATAGCTCCTCTCCCTAGTCCTGAAGGGAGTTTACTGTTCTTCTGTTTCTGAAGACTGTTCAGGTTTCCTGGTAGCTGTTCCGATGGCCTTGGATCCTATGATCAAGGATTCAGCTTCTTCCATCCTGTGTGGTAGGTCCAAAGCAGGGGAGGCGGGGGGGGGGGGGGATGTCCTCTGAGTTCTCGGGCTCTGAAGGCATTCCAGTCCCCCATGGTCTCTTTGGCAGTTGGGATGTGGTCCTTGGCGCCTGTACTGATAGCCCTTGGTGGGGATCCAGGAGACTCCAGGTTTGGGATACAGGCCTCCTCCTGCTCCACTCTGTGGTCCCCCACTGCTCTGTCGCATAACCTCCTGTTAATAGGTTGTCAGGGTCGCTCTTGATTCCTCCATATATCTTTGTAGTTTTACTGTTGTCTAATGTTGTCTTGAATCTATTGTCTACAAGTTACCTGTTATGTGCCTGAGAGGATACACTACCCGGCTTCCTCACACGTTCACAGGAGATGGAAGGTTTCTTTGCTTTCCCGCCCAATTTCTGAGTAGTAAACGGTTTTGAAAATATATTGGGTTATACAATTTTAGGATTTATTTTTTATTATTTTTTCATTGGAAAGGCGGATATACAGAGAGGAGAGACAGAGAGGAAGATCTTCCGTCCAATGAGTCACTCCCCAAGTGAGCGCAACGGGCCGATACTATGCCAGTCCAAAGCCAGGAGCCTCTTCCGGGTCTCCCACGCGGGTGCAGGGTCCCAAAGCTTTGGGCCGTCTTCGACTGCTTTCCCAGGCCACAGGCAGGGAGCTGGAAGGGAAGCGGGGCTGCCGGGATTAGAACCGGCGCCCATATGGGATCCCGGGCATGCAAGGTGAGGACCTTTAACCACTTGCGCCACCGCGCCGGGCCCGGTTATACAATTTTAAAAACACATGGGTTGAGACCATATTAGGTAGAGGTCCATGGGGGAGATTTACATCATTGGGAATCTTTAGGGTTGATTCATGTACCCCAAGCCCTGAGGGTTCATCATGGAGCTTTCTAAGCAGCAATCATAGAAACCAAATTGCCGAGCTCCCTGGCCGGGCGGCCAACAAACAGAGCCTACCACCAAATGGCGCACTGGCCGCCCAATACCGGCTCTGGACACGCGCTTGGCAGCGGCTGCGTGCAATCCAGGCATGAGACGCTATTTGTCCCGGGACCTTCCAGCCCCCATGTGGAGGCTGGAAGACTACTTCCCCAGGTTCAAGCTCCACCCCTTCCCGTTCCTGCCCCCAGCTCAATCCCGCAGCGAGCAGTGAAGCAGTCAGACCCTTCACAGAGCTCCGTGGGTAGTCCATGGCACGGTGCTCTGGCAAGCCTAATACCAGCTCTGGACGCGCACATGGTAGCGGCCGTGTGCGATCCAGGCATGAGATGCTACTCGTCCTGGGGCCTTCCACTCTTTGGTTTTCTTTTTACAGCTGCTTGTCGTTTCCTGTTTTGCGCTGTCGGGGCCTGGGTCTCACCTTTCCACACAGGCAGTAGGAGATGAGCTGAGGCTCTTGGAGGCTCTAGGCGCTGAATCTCACCCATGGCTATGGCCAACGCCAGGGCGATTTTCAACCAGCGCCAGGCCCTCAGGGATGTTTTAACAGGTTATTCTGAATTTATTCTGGATGACAAGCAGTTTTGAAATTCATGCATACCTTTTTATAATAGGCATTTCTGATGTTTTAATACAATGTGTAGGGTATATATACATCTAAAATTTAACTGATGCTATTTAATTTACCTGTATCTCACTAAGGATGTTTTTTACCTCACCTGTCTGATTTTGTAAAGCTAGGATAGGATTCCAGTATGGTAACTATGACAATTTCTCCTCCTCAGTTTTTGATTTCTTTATTTTCAGACATTGTTAAGTATACTGTGATAAGTGACTGTTGAATCAATTTGGTGAAATGTTCAGTTCTCAAATACAGCAGAAATAGTTTTTTGTTTCTGATATTCTTTGGGTTTTTGTCAATAACATTGTATTTTTAAGAATTAATATGCTTGGACCTCGTGGGGTAACCTAGTGGCAAAAGTTCTCCCCTTGCATGCACAGGTATCCCATATGGATGCCTGTTTGTATCCTGGCTACTCCACTTCCCTTCCAGCTCCCTGCTTGTGACCTGGGAAAGCAGTCGAGCACGGCCCAAAGCCTTGGGACCCTGCACCTACATAGGAGACCTCAAAGAAGCTGCTAGCTCAGCTCTGGCTGCTGCAGCCACTTGGAGTCTGAACCAGCAGATAGAAGGTCTTTCTCTCCTCTGTGTAAATCTGACATTGCAATAGAAATAAATGTTTTAATGTTAATATGCTTTTGAAATTAGATTTATTTACAATACAGCAAAGGAGTTTTCTTCAGTCTTCTTTAACAATGTATGCCAGCAGCATTAGTTAAATGGGTTTTTTTTTGTCCAACAGAATTGAGCCAT